CGGCCGGGATCGAACCTCAAACCAGATGAGACGTGGTTAGCGAGCATTCTACCCTTGTGCCACCGATGTACAAGCATGTTTCAAAAGTTTGAATTCTACATTGTTTTCTATAGAGCGTGGGGGACACCTAATTTTAAACTTTGTCTTCTCCAAAGGGAGTGATGGTTTCATTGAATGACTCTGGACTACCCTATTCTTCCTATAAGTGGAAACAAGCATTTTTCACCTCCTAATTTTTGTACTAACTTTGCCCGGCTGATCATTACACTTGTGTCGGTGGTTCAGAGATGGAATACTCACCAACTACACACTTGGTTGAGGGTTCGGTCTCCAGACAACGCTTAGAAAGCACAAACTTTCCAAGGGTGGAAGTTTGACTGTGAGGCTAGTTACTCCACCCCGCAAAATACTTCATTTCTATTGAAACTTCAAGCTCAATCTTGAAGCCGTACGTTCCTTCTTAACAAATGTATCACCATTAGATTAACACTATGCGTTGATATAAGAATAAAACTTGGGCACTGTGGTTGAGTGCAACTCCATTATGGGTAAATTTTATTTTGATAGAGTCTCACAGTGTTATACAGTAATATTTACTGATGACGTTTCGAGCACAATTTATTGCTCATAATCATATCAAGGTAATCACACGACTTCCTAAATTCATTTATATATTTCCATTGTTTTTCACTTGATTTCCACTTGATTTGATTGGTAGTATTATTTTCCATTCCATTTCCGGTATGAGTGATGATTCATTCCTATTGCATGTGTTGGGTGTAGATTCGATGAACAAAGATTCAGTAATCAACCTCTCTCTCCATCTACCTAGATTACTTTTTAGAATTTTAACCCTCTCCCACCCTATTGTGTGGTTGTGTGTTAATGCATGCAATGCTATTGATGAGCTTTTTTCTAAATTACTTATCTTCTCGGGGTCAACCATTCTGCCCTTAGCTAAATTCTTATGTTCTGACAATCTGACTATCCCTGACCTACTAGTTTGACCTATGTAGTTGACCTCACAGTCATTGCAGGGTATTTTGTAAATTATATTATTTTGTCTAATCGGGTCCACTGGGTCCTTTAACCTACAGAGCTTGTCCCTGAGTGAGTTTGTAGGTTTAAATGCTACCCTAATTCCTGCTTTATTGTGAATCCTATGTAGGGTCTCAGATGTCCCCTCTTTATATGGTATAACTGTAGATGACTTATATTCTCTCTTATTTATGTTATTATTACCAGTTTCACAAGTTTCAGCTTAGGTTTGGGAAAGATTAAGTTACGCCTTAAGCCAAGGATAAGTAATGGTTAGGTTAACTTAATAAATACGACATTAGGGTGTTGGTGAGAGTTAGATTATAGTTAGTTTGGGGATATTTTGATATTAGGATTAAGTTCAGGAAAAATTAGGGTTATTGTTAGCGTTAGAAGACCTCAATAATTACATGGATAGAATGTGGTTAAATTACTCTGCTGATATAAGAATAGAACTTGTGCACTGTCGTGGAGTATAATTTCATTGTGAGTAAAATTTATTCTGATAAAGTCACACAGTGTTATACAATAGTAATATTTACTGATGACAACGTTTCAAGCACATTTTATTGCTCAGTAAATATTACTCTATTACACTATGAGACTACATCAAAATAAATTTTACCCACAATGGGATTAATTATACTCTGTTGATACTCCAAGCTAAAACTGAGAGCTACTTTTATCATATGTGAGGGGAAGGTATCCTCTGTAATAGTTTTCTATAGGTTTTATTCATTTTTTCATAAATAAGTGTATTCCATTCACAAAAGTGCCTCCTTCAAGTGGTTGGTGCGTTCGAGGTCACTCACTGATTGGTAGGTAGTGGTGGTGGTACTTCAAGTTTAACTTTGCCAAATTTTATGTACTGCAGGTCACAGATGCGCTCAAAGATACTTACATGTTTTTGGTTTTTACTCTTAATCATCATCCTTTTTCATTCAATATCATTCACTCTGAGAAAACAAAAATATCTCAAGCAGTCTCAGCAGCTGTTGCTTCCTAGTCTTAGAAAACTTCCCATGATGAGAAGTGTTGCTGGAGACTTGTAGCATCACAGTGGGTAGTAGTGTTCACCTGTGAATCGAAACAGCATCATTCTACTATTCATTATTCATGTACTCTGAAAATACGTTCAAAGCATAGACACATTTCTTCAATGTCATGAATTGGACTGTATAAGGACTTAAAATATTTTCAAAAAGCCTACAGAATCACTTAGAATTAGAAGGCACTGAATGGTAATTTTTTCATGAATTCCAGTGACTCAGTACTGATTACTCATAACCACAACATGGACTCTATCCACCGCCCTAAGGCTACGAGCCCACCACAGTTTCCTCTCAGCCTATATATATATTTATATAATAATTTCCTTTATTCCAGAAACAGTACTAGTGGTACAGTGTGGAATTTTCAGCACATATCTACAATATTTGCTTCTAATTTTACAAACATTTAAAAGGAGTATTTAACAAAAAAAAAAAAATAAAGACACCAACAGCAAAAAAACAAACAGGATAAACACAAAGATAATTATAAATGCGAAAAAGTACCAAGAAGTAGAAAGGAAAATAAACAACACACAATAATATCTCAGTATTGAGTAGTAGAAGCTATGATATGATTATGCATGCTGACAGTAAAGCTGTAGTTACACAAGAAGTTATGAACTGATATTTAAGAATGTTTATCGCCAAGATGATCAGTTAATTTAGGTTGAAACAACTCTAAACAATCATAAAATAACATTTCAGGGTTGTATTTCTTTATTGTCAGGTCTAATGTGGAGTTTGTAGTGGTAGTGTAAATAATCCTGAATAATGCAAAATTTTAAGATGGTGATAATGGCTTTCACAACCAAGATTGTCAGTTAATATTGCCGAACAAAAAAACAACAATAACCACAAAAACTAATAATTACATGATGGTTAATGACAGGACAATTTTGTAATACTCATAGTGCTAATATAGTCGGAACCAGTGGATACACAATAGAAGGAATATAGTGAAGTACAAAAAAGGAAGCTAATGTTAATAATTTAAGTAGCTAAGTATGTTTGAGAAGGAGTTCACTATAGAATGCAAAACAAGAGAGAAATAAAAGAGCCTAAAATTATGTTTTTAACAACAAAGCACGTCATAGATTTCGCGCTTAACATTGTCTCTGTCACTTAGAACACGGGCCAAGTATGGTATCGTTGAGTTCCTGTACTTGATTGTATGAGCATAGATTATTTTATACTGATTTCTGGTTTTACTTGATGAGATATTGTTGCTCAAATACCCTTGGAATGGTAGTGTAGTGGTCACTGGATCTCATCAACCCTGTGAAGGTACTCAGCTAACAATCCAAAGGTCCTAAAGTAGGCTCATACATGTGTAGTGCTGGGAAGTTTCAGTCAAAGACAATATAACTGACTAGTGCCTCCCCCACCTGTATTCAATGATCATCATGTAGGTGACGTCATTTTATGACAAAATCTATGAGGAAATCCTTTTGGTAAGTCGTTTTAATCACAACCACTCACGCAAACACGACACTCACCAGTTTCTGTTGATATTCAGAAATGAATATTAGTAAATCACGGAATATTCCGTGACGCATTGGGTCATAGGAGTTATTAAAAAGACAATTGCAGCAAAGAAAATTTTCTTTTTGACGAAATCATCATCTAGGCTGTACATTCGTGTATTTATATCAAATGGATGGGAAAGTTTCAGAATAATTTCCGGTTAAGGGTAAAATTAATAAAAATTACAATTAGGAATTAGAATGCCATAATAAACAGGGGGATGGATAAAACTCGAACAAAGTAGCATTATAATAACTAAGATGATTGACATTGTGCAATTGGGGGTTAGAAATGTAGAAATAACAAAATACACAGGATGTTTGGATAAAAAACTAATGTGATGAATAATTGTTTATGCAATCAGGGATTAAATATGTAGAAATAATAAAATGACAAAATAGACAGGAATTTCAGATATGAAAATATGGTAGTGCAGACAGGGATTAAGAGAAACTTAAAATAACACGAATAAAACAGGAAGTTTAGATAAGAAAGGCAGTGGTATAGCCACTATTAGAAGAATTACCTGTCTATGATGACCATGGCAGGGACCAGGATTGGACGTATTTCTTTTGGATACATAGTGTGGGTTTGATCTTTCGGATAGCTAGCTCCTCAGCTATGCCCATATGTCTTGATTTCACTCCCTTTGATAGGTTTGATTGAATCTTGTATATTACTTTGAAGGATTTTTCGAAAGGCGCCACCACCAATCCTGAGTTTGAGACCATCTCAAACAAACTACAGACCTTCATTAACAGTTGTCTTCGCTCAGTACTCAAGATCAGATGGCCAGAAAAGATCAGCAACAGGGATCTTTGGGAACGAACCAACCAGGAACCGATTGTGAAACAAATAGGCAGGAGGAAATGGAGATGGATTGGACATACTCCTAGGAAACCATCAAGTGACATCACTAGACAAGCCCTTGAGTGGAACCCGAAAGGGAAGCGGCGAGTTGGTCGTCAGTGCAAGGGTGACTTGGAGGAGGTCATATGAAGGAGAGATTAGAAAGCGTGTGGGCGAACTTGGAGCCAGGTGAAGACTCTAGCAGAGAACAGAACGCAATGGAGACGCACGGCTGAAGCCCTATGTTCCTGTAGGAATTAAAGGATACAATAATAATAATAAATAATTCCTAATTGTAATTTTTATTAATTTTACCCTTAACCGGAAATTATTCTGGAACTCCCCCCATCCATTCGATATAAATACACGAATGCACAGCCTAGATGATGATTTCGTCAAAAAGAATATTAGTAACTAAATAGAAAATTTAAACATACAAATAATCTAATTGCCAATAAACAATTATTCAGTGTTCAATAATTCTTTGAATAAAGCATTTAACTGACAATCTGTTTTAATTCATTCATTTAAACAAAGATTGTAAGTATATTAATGGCAGTCGGTGGCGGTTTATTTATGCTATCTGGAGATATGAATTTTATGTTTCTGCGTAAAACTGTCACACTGTTGGAGAAACGTGTAAATCCACCAAATGCAAATTTTGGTACCGGAGTTAGCAAGTTAATAATGTTACTCACAGGTAAGTTATACTCAATTTTTTATAGTGTGTTCCTGCATTTTGAAAATGTTGGACTAAACGGAACACCATTAGGTTGGTTTGGATGTGAACTAGTGCTGAATGGTGTAGGTTTTCTAGCTTGGAGGTTAAATTATCAAGTTATCGAGTTATGCAATTAGTTGTACGAGTTTGACCAGGGATTGATATCAGTTAGAGAACCACTGAAAACCAACTGGGAGTACTGGACAGCTGTTTCGTTGGCCTAGTTTGGGCATCATCGTCCGTGCGCACCCACACCCACTGGGGTTCGAACCCAGGACCTTCCGGTTGCAAGGCTAGCGAGCTCGCATACCATTCAGCCACTGGGACGCGACTCCTCAATGGCCATCCCATGAAATCTAACTTCTACCAATTCGTGACTTAGTGCCACTCCAACCAATGTCGTCTGTGGGACATCCATCCTCACACTTAACTGGATGAACCGCATTGGTCATGGGGTCTCACTAGAACTCCAGGAAACTCCATCCGTCCTGTAGCAAGTCACTAGCGAGCATCAGATTAGTTTCCTATGATTGGTTTTGTAAGAATTAGATTTGTTTTTACGAGTTTGACCACGGATTGATATCGCAGTTAGAGAACCATTGAAAACCAGGCAGGAGTACATGACAGCTGTTTCACTCTGGGTTCAAACCTTGGCAGTGGGTCGTACTACCAATGTTTCTGAAACTAGGCCGACGAAACAGCTGTCCAGTACTCCCTTGTGGTTTACAATGGTTCTCCAACTGTGATATCAATCCGTGGTCAAAATTAGTAGTACATTGGAATATATTTTCAGTGAACGGTCATAAAGGGGAATTATACTTTACTGGAGATCATTGCCAATACATTCCCTAATCTAGCCTAGACTGTAGTCACTCCGGAAGAGATGGAATGTTGGGCGTAGGCTTTGGCAAACCCCAACTGATTAACAGAGAACAACACCACAGCTACAGAAACGTCGAGGTTTACGCTTGGAGCCTTATGCTCCACTCGGAATCTAAGTGAATGAATGAAATAAATATATTTGTATATATAATGGCTGGTTTTACACATTGGATGACCTTGCACTCCTTCTTAAGGTTCATGACAGTATACCAAAACTTCAAGTATAAAGTAATCCCAGTGTAATGACGGGAGAAGGGTGTACATTTCCAGTTCAAGTGAACGATGGTTTAACTGTGAAACTGTCATTATCCTTCTAGACAACAACAATATTTTTCACTGAATGACTTTTACTGGTATTCATTTGTTCCCGTAGGTTTCTTTATGGTTATATTCACATGGATAAAAAAGAGGTGATGACGATTGCTGGCCAAAAGGAACAGGAACGACAGCAGACAACAATCAGCATAAATCCTCCATGCAATCAAACAAAATCCCTACAAAACCAATACTTGAAAATTAATCTGATGCCCACTAGTGACTGGCCCTATTCAGGCAGTTAACCTAGGGTTCTAGTGGGAGTCCGTGACCAGTAGGGTACAGCAGGTTGGAGATGAGGCAGTAACTCATAGAAGAAGACATTGCGAAATGGTCGCGCTATGTCGTGAATTGGCAAAAGTTAGAATTCAAGGACCATTGGATCGGGTCCCAGTGGCTCAATGGTCTACGAGCTCGCCTTGTAACCAGAAGGTCCTGGATTTGAACCCTGTCGGTGGGCGCGTACTGTGAAGAGTCCCAAACTAGGACGAAACAGCTATCCAGTACTCCCAGGTGGTTTTCCAGTGGTTCTCTAACTGATGTCAGCTCATGATGAAATCCTTCATGAAATCTGAAAGAAGCAACCTCCTTGAACTAGCTACACACTACCTACCTAGGAAGCATCATTTCAACTACAGGCGGCGGAACTGATGAAAATATGAAAGTACGAGGATCGGGAAAGCAATGGAAGCTTTCATTACTCTCAAGTCAGTGTAAAGATCAACACTCAGCACTAATCAGCATGGGGAATAAACCCGGATTTTCAACTCCAATGTGAAGTCAGTGCTACTTACTATACGGTTCAGAGACTTGGCGCCGCGCCGTGCCGCATCACGAATGGCACTTCGAACAACTTCAAACAAACTACAGACCTCCATCAACAACTGTCTTCACTCGGTACTGCTCAAGATGAGATGGTCAGCCAGAAAAGATCAGCAACAGGGGGGATGTCTTGCAATGAGCAAACCAACTTAGCAGGAACGAATTGTGCAGCAAATATGCATGAATAAATGGAGGTGGATTGGTGGCCGTAATGTGAGAAAACAAACCATCAATTGAGTGACATCATACTCCAGGCCATTGATTGAGTGGGACCGGAATGGGAAGCGGCGAGTTGGTGGTCGTTGCGAGTGTGACATGGAGGAGGTGATGGGAAGGGCAGATGAAAGCATGTGGGCATACGTGGAGGGAATTGAAAAAATTTGGGGGAGAACCGAAGGTAGTGGAGACGTGCTGAAGCTCTATATTCCTCTAGGAACTAAAGAAGACAATAATGTTATAACCATATGTTCATCTATATTTGTATTGCTCCTGTAGCAGACCCTGAATTCGACCTTGTGGTCGTGTGACTGACCTGTTCGTTATTGATCGATAAATCTGATTAAATTCTCTATGTATTTTCACGTGACCTATATCCATTCACACCGATTCATGTTAACAACTGTGAATATTAATGAGACTGGGAAAATGGGAAAATTCCAACTGTGGGAACACCAAAACATTCACTGCATTCTTAATAATGTGGCATCCAAATCACTTTGCAACTGAAAGATATGATGACGTCGATCAATAAATATCAGGTCAATGAGAAGATCAATGTCAATAGTTCTTCATTTCTTGCGTTCCTCTCAGGACATGAGGGTTAAAGCTTTCAAGTTTCGGTAGTGATATCGTTGTTTCTATGAGGTGGGATTGCCAGTATCTTACCCTACCTATGATATGATTATGAGAAATAAATTGTGCTCGAGACGTCATCAGTAAGCATTACTGTATAACACTGTGAGATTTTATCTAAGCAAAATTTACCCACAGTGGAATTACACTCTACCACAGTGCACAAGTTTTAGTCTTATATCAATCGGTTTCTGTTCATTGGTGGTATGGTAGCTTGCTAATATGACCAAAGAAGGATCCAATCCTGAAATAATCTCCTGGAAAAGCCAGTCACATCCATTGGGATCAGGGTAGATGGATGTTTCGATCATGGAGACTTAAAATTATAACTAGCTCCAAAGATTTTCTCTAAAAAGAAAACAGAAGCTTTGAAGTTAATAAACCGTCTTGCTCCAAAAACACAATACTAAATATACCATGAAGTAATATCGGCTCCAATATCCGAATGGAAAGAACACAAATCCTGTGAGGCTGCAAATATGGTAGGTGATAAATTGCATGACTCCCTGATTAGAACCTACTAACTCATGTTTTGCAATCTAATACTACTAAAAGCAAGTTACATCGTTCACGGTATGTCTTCGTCGACTGTTTCATGATTGATAATAATGAAGAGATACTGAGATTCACAGGGTTTATTCTTTACATTATCTGGTGGCAATATTTATTCATGGCGACCTATACGTCTTAGTCAAGTTGTAAGGTGCTATTTTAGTATAGTGATAGACCTTGAATATATCTATGGTGACTCAGCGAGGTGTACTGCCTTAAATGAATGCTGTTGCAGGCCGCATCATACCAGGAAGTTCAACTGCTTAGTTTTAGACTGAAAGCAGTAACCATCATAGTTGGCAGAAGTTAGAATTCAAGGACCATTGGATCGGGTCCCAGTGGCTCAATGGTCTACGAGCTCGCCTTGTAACCAGAAGGTCGTGGGTTCGAACCCTGCCGGTGGGTACGTACTGTGAAGAGTCCCAAACTGGGACGAAACAGCTCTCCAGTACTCCCAGGTTTTCCAGTGGTTCTCTAACCAATGTCAGCTCATGATGAAATCCTCCATGCAATAGTTCATACTGTTTGAAAAAAATTATATTTGTAAAATCTCAGCGAAATTTAAATGAGTAATTCTAACGTTTCCTGCGTTCGGTAAACTGGTCCGAACTTCTTCAGAGAAATTAATCGAAATTGAACTAGCAGAGGTTCATATAGAAAAAGAACATCTGTTGTTTTTAAAAACTTTGTCTAGTCATATGAGTCATGAAGCAGGCATCAAAATATAATAAACAAACAGAATGGTATGAGCTGTCATCAAATCTTACCTCAGACTTACAAATATCAGTCTACTTTTGTTAAACACTTTAAACACAGTGTACTTTTCAAATGAACTGTCGTCAAGATTTGACTGAATAGTTCTAAAATATTTGGGCGCCGAGTGAGAAGTAGACATTTGTAAAAATTATATTTGTAAAATCTCAGCGATATTGAAATGAGTAATCCCAACGTTTCGTTCGGCAATCTGGTCCGAACTTCTTCAGGGAAATTAATCAAAATTAACATAACAGAGGTTTTATATATAAAAGGCACATCTTTTTAAAAACTTTGTCCAATCATGATTCATAAACACAAGTATTAACAACTGTAATAAACAAAATTGTATGAGCTGTGATCAAAATTTGACCTCGGACTTACAAATATTGGTCTACCTTTGTTAAATACTTTAAACAGAGTGTGCATGCGTGTGTGTGTAAACAGTCGTAAAACATTTCTTAACGTCTCCATATAAAATTTTTTACAAATGTCTCCATAGGAAGATATAGACAGTCAGGAATTTGGCCAAGTATTATTAATTAGTGATACATATCCATTTTTATTTATTAATCAGGATTTCCTATGCATCAGCTAACATCAAACCTTCATGTCCGTTCAAACTGCTAGTATCTAGAATTTTATGATTAGACGTATTTTCAAAATTATGGTGTTTAGGATTAGTGTTTAGTTTAAGCACCCTGATTAATAAATAAAAATGGATATGTATCACTAATTAATAATACTTGGTCAAATTCCTGACTGTCTATATCTTCCTATGGAGACGTTAAGAAATGTTTTACGACTGTTTACACACACACGCATGCACACTCTGTTTAAAGTATTTAACAAAGGTAGACCAATATTTGTAAGTCCGAGGTCAAATTTTGATCACAGCTCATACAATTTTGTTTATTACAGTTGTTAATACTTGTGTTTATGAATCATGATTGGACAAAGTTTTTAAAAAGATGTGCCTTTTATATATAAAACCTCTGTTATGTTAATTTTGATTAATTTCCCTGAAGAAGTTCGGACCAGATTGCCGAACGAAACGTTGGGATTACTCATTTCAATATCGCTGAGATTTTACGAATATAATTTTTTACAAATGTCTACCTTCTTGTAGTTTAAAAATACTTAAGTGCTTTTACATAAGGAACTAAAAATTCCAACAATTTTATGCAAAACATTAAATCCATTTTTTTTCATTTGGATTGTTCTTTTCTCTTGCAGAAAAATTTAGTCTCGTGTTTTTCACATTTGGTTTAGTCAACTTCCTTGTTTGCATAGTTGGAATGTGCGCTGTGTGTACTCAAAAGTCAACTTTATTGACTGTGGTAAGAATTATTTGCTGATAGGTAAACATTGCTTGATTGCTTTCTTCATCGATTTTCGTTTGCTAAACATAGTCAACTGTTTATCGACTTTTCTTTATTTGAAAGGCGTGGAGAAAGGTAACCATATTTACGACAGATTCAGGAAAGAAAATTTTCTTTATCGACGAAATCATCTTCCTTCAAAGGCTGGCTGTAAAGTCGTATTTATACTTACAAAAATACATAGTGGTCTATTATTGAGTAATAGGAGGTGGGGTGACATAACTGATATAATTACTCAGAAGTGGCTTTAGAAGTGAAAATTACGTGGTACTCAACGGCAAAAAGATAGAAATTTGATAAGGTTAAAATTGCTATTGAGTGAGAATAAAGGTATTTGAGTGTCAATTTAACAAGTGTGAAGAGGGTGTGAAAATATACAAAAGGAGCATATGAGAGTGATAATAGTGAATTAATTATTAAAGCAAAAGCTAACTAAAAGTGAAATTAGAATGAAAAAATAAAAAATAAAAAAATTTTTTATTTACAAGGAACGATTAGTGAAGAGGTTAAGACCAAGGTAGAATAAGAGACTGGACAAACTTTTTCTGTATACAGAGTTCAGGGTTGTATTGACGAATTGCCAGCGCCTCCGCCATACACAAAAGCCGAAAGCTGACGCTCTTTGTACCATTTGGCTTCACTTTATAGATGATCTTGAAAGACGACCCCGGTAGAGCTACATGGCCTGAGTTCACCAAATGCTCGAGAATTGAGCTAGTAATTGTCTTACATTGTCCCTTTGCTAACCATGCCGGATAATGTTCACAGATGCGTTCGGAAAGCTTGCGCTTTGTGCAGCCAATATAACTAGCTCCACACGAGCAGGTGAATTAATGAACACATATTGAGGTGGCCCAAAGCGGTAGTTTATCCTTCACACATCTGTTGATCATTTATCGGCTGTAGAAATTGATACGTAGCTCAGCCATAAAGAAGGCTTTCCTCAGTGATCTGCATAAGCGATTCTTTAGGATCTCAGCTGCGGTATCACCTTTAAATCCAACACTCATAAATAGCAGTTTCTTCGGCACCATCTGGATTCTTTCAGGCTTTTCCCTTAACTTCATGTTTTTCTCGATAAATCTTGAAGGATATCCATTCTCTATGAGGACTTGTCTGAGTCGCCCCAGTTCCCCATCGACTGTATCACTTTCTATCTTTGTGCCGTTAAGTACTAACTTTTAATTTTCACTTCTAAAGCCACTTCTGAGTAATTATATCAATTATGTCACTCCCTGTAACTCATTAATAGACCACTATACACTTTTGGTAAGTATAAATACGACTGTACAGCCTCTGAAGGAAGAAGATTTCGTCGATAAAGAAAATTTTCTTCGCTGAATTTATCTTTTATTTTCTTCATGACTCAATGGGTATTTTCGGTATTTAAGACTCTTTAAACTGACGTATCTGTTTCTTAACGAGTCAGAACTATCTGACTGTGTCTTGAGCCTAATTTCAAGATTGAATATGAATTGAATTCATTTGGAGAACCACTGAAAGACAAGGAGTACTTAACAGCCGCTTCGTCCTACTTTGGGACTCTTCACAGTACTCACCAACCATCCCAATAGGAAGAGAACGCATGATCTTCAGGTTACAGGGCCAGCTTCTAACTGAGACAGAATCCAATGGTCAGTCATTTCTAACTTCTGCCGGTACTAGATCTATAGTGCGACTGCCAGCTACTGTCATTGGCGATTATCTGTCCTTCTTCTCAACTTGGTGCACCCCGCTAGCCACTAGAACATCCATCCCAGTGGCTGAATTGTTAACGAGCTCCTCTTGTAACTTGAGTTCCCAAGTTCTTTCCTTGGTGAGATAATTAGTGCGTTATTCTGAAGAGTCCCATAGTAAGACGAAACTGTCGTCAAGTTTTCTTTGTGCATTTCAGTAGTTCTCTAACTGAAGTCAGTTCATGGTCAGCCTTGAAATCAGTTGCATCTCTCCAGACCAACACATGGAGAGCTCAACACACGTCACATTCATAACACAATTACTATCTACTGTTTGTAAAGTACTCAGTTTACTGCATTGCCTATGTGTGAGGAAAACGAGCCAACCAATGTAATCCGCTATCCGCTACAATTCCTAGTTGATTTTTCCTGACGGTCAACTAGTGAATTGCATACGCACACACAAAGACACACTGTGTCGGACAAGAAAGTCTATTCATACAGAAGAGCCGAAAGTATCCATAACAAAGCTGAAAGTGTAGAAAATAGCGCATAATTCTGGTACAACATACTGGGTGTTTAAAAAGGATAAAATCGATTAGTTTCCTGTTAGTCTAACTACCAATCGATATTAGAGTAGCTTGAATTTTGATTGGTTCATTTCCTGACTAAGTGTTCAGTTATAACTAACACTAATCTACTGCATGTAGACAATTACCGATCGTCTGTCAGACAGTACTCATTTTCTCTGTGTCTCATTTTACTAAACTGAACCTCAGGGCAACGTTTATGTATACTCTACAAAAACCTATGCGTCAAAAGAATCCGACCAATTAGGCCTAGTAAATGGAACTCTGAGAAATCATATTATTAATATTATTCCCTTGGGTTTCGTGTGGAACATAGGGCTTCAACAACACGTCTCCTTTTTGTCCTATCTTCTACCGTCCTCTTCGGCTTGGACCACGATTGCCCACAATCTCTTATATCCCCATCACAAGATCTCCTCCATGTCACCCTAAGACGACCCACTCGTCGATTCCCATTGGGATTCCACTCGAGCATTGGCCTGGCGCGCGATGTCATTCGACGGCCTCCTCAACATATGTCAAATCCATCTCCATTTTCTCCTACATATTTTTTCAGCGATCGGCTCTTGCTCGTTGGTTTGTTCCTGCAGTTTTTTGTTACTTATTCTTTCTAGCAGGTCATTTGATCTTCAGTATGGAGCGAAGGAAGCTGTTGATAAAAGGCTGTAACTGGTTGGAAATCCCTTTCGTGACACGCAGTGCAAGTTTCTGACCCGTATAGAAGAACTGACTGACTGACTTCACATTTGTGTTGAAAATTCGAATCATGTTGTTTATGCTGAGGAGTGCAGAGCATTTCCAAACTGGTTTCAGATTGATGAAGGCGTATCTGGCGTTTCCGATTCTGGCTGTGCGTGCTGTTGGTGGTGGTGTATTTCCGGGCGAGTTGCAGGTGATGGTCGATTCAAGAGTCCTTTAAAGTGATCAGCCCATTGTTTGATGTGTCTCTTCTCCTTGGTAATTAGGTTCCGTTGAGCATCTTTTATTGGTTTCATCATCTGGGTTGATCTCTTTCTGGATACAGACCTGGTTATCTGATATAATGTCCTTAGGTCTCTTTTACCTGCGGCCTGCCTGTACTGCTTCGGTTGCCTGCCAGTGTGTCGTAGAACTGTCTTGTCTTTCCTAGCACTCTTCTTCACTTCACTCCTTATTCAGTGCACCGTACGTGGAACTCGGCTTCTCCCTCTGTTACCCATCTTTGCATTGAGTCATCTTCTCTTTCACCGTTCTCCTCTCCTCACTTCTATTAGCTTCCAGGTAGGTGTCCGTTGAGAGCCATTCCTTGTCGTGTCTCTTCTTTCTTCCTAGAACAGTTGTACCCGTTTCCTTGAACATTACCTTCAGAGAGTTCTAATGTTCTTCCACACAGGTTTTTTAAGTGATACCACGTGTTGTCTCCGGCTTCGCTCTGATATCTGTAGTGGAAGCATCCCTTGTGGTCTTTCCCTTTAGTTTCTGGACGCTGAACTTGAATTGTGGTCTGTCTCCAGTTGTTCTGAAGGATTTCAGCTTCACCTTGAAAGTTCCTTGAAGTAGATGGTGGTCTGAGCCCACATCTGCTCCCCTCCTCGACTTTGTGTCCAGTAAACTGACTGTGTCTCCACTTCCTTTAACAGCAGTGAGATGAAGTCTATCTGGCTTGTGGTGAGTCCGCCAGGCGAAATCTATGTTGGTTTGTGTATATCCTTGTGTTTGTACACGCTGCCTCCAATCACCAAATCATTGGAAGCGCAGAAGTCTGCGAATAATTCTCCGTTCTCATTCATTTCGCCGAGCCAGAGCCTCTCGACCCATGATGAGTTCTCTTCCTAAGCAGTCATGTACTGCTATTATACTGTATAGATGTTCAACGAAGTGAATTTATGCCTTTCATGTAGTTGTGCTACATGTTTTCTCCGTTGTTTCAAATTTAATATTTCTAGAAATTCCCCCTGCTTTACGTTTTAAATGATTTGCTCAGCGATTTTGAAACATTTCCCGTCGAATTCTCAGTTGATATCATTATTATTATTATTATGAAATGCGACGACTCCCTCACTTCTCGCATTTGATCACGTGATCAGTCATAATTGTTAAACAAAGTCTCACTGGGCATAGGTTTTGTATATGTTAACGCACTTTAGAAGAGCTTCTCTCCAATTGAAACGGAACTGATCTGACCTGACTCCTGCCTACTGATTCAAACTGGCTTCAATGAAACCTCGGAATAGTTTGTATGACGATTATTTCTTTTTGAGTCATGCAAAAGAAAAGACGTTAAGTGAAGAGTTACTCCCCTTTTCGGCGATATCATTCTCAAGCTGCACAATCACATCTAAATACATAGTTAATTTTCCTAGCAACAAAATCAATATTTCAACGATTTGTCGTTAGGGTTGTAAATATTAGTTAACAAATTATGTAATGTAGAAAGCGTTAAACTTTTACCCTTCAAATTCGTGCTTCCCATTTGGGTTCCACTCGAGCGATGGCCTGGCGTGTGATATCACTTGATGGTTTGTTTTCTCAGAGTATGGCCACCAATCCACCTCCATTTATTCCTGCATATTTCTTGCACAATTCGTTCCTGCTGGGTTGTTTCGCTCATTGTCAGAGATCCCTCCCTGTTGCTGCTGTTTTCCTCCCGGCCATCTGATCTTGAGTAGTATTGAGCGAAGACAGCTGTTGACGAAGGTGTTTAGTTTGTTCGAAGTTGTTCAAAGTGCTCTTCATGACGCGTCAATTCTCTGATCCGTATAGTAAGCAGAACTGACTTCACATTGGAGTTAAAAATCTGGATCCTCTTTTGTATGCTGATTAGTGCTGTTGATTTCCACACAGAATTGCGAGTAATGAAAGCCTGTCTTGCATTCTCGGTCCTCGCGCTTTCATATCTTCATCAGTTCCGCCAGCCTCTAGTTGAAACAATGTTCTCCAGGTAGGTTTGTAGGCAGGTAGGTAGGCAGGTGGAGGTTGCTTCATTTCTGATTTCTCCCACTTATGCTGACTGTTGTCTGTTGTTGTTGTTGCTGTTGCTAATGCTGTTGGCCAGGAATCTTCATCACCACCTCTGTTTTCTCTTTGTTCACCTGAATTCCTATCTTCTTTGGATGCTTCTTTTGCCAACTTGTTGCATTTAACTTGCATATCCTCCAGTTTGTGGGAAATCAGACAAATATATCTTAAATGAAATTTACAATTTACAGTTAACCAGTTCACTCAAGCAGCTAGCGAAAAACTTCGTGTTTTGAGTAGATTCCGTTCTTCAAGCTGATTGGATCAAGGTACAACGATGATGAATTCGTCGCCAAACGAGCGAAATGGCCTTCCTGTGCTTAGATCACTCCAATCTACCTGTTTAGAAAGTACTACTGCTTAATATGAGTGGTGTTCAACTACTTACGCGCCTACCACTCAGTAGTAAATCGTGTCAAACTAGAACAGAACAACAATTCAGTACTTTTTGACTCACAATGGTTCTATTTAACTGATATCGATTCATCACGAAATCTAACATGAAATCTATTTTAAATTCTATTTCCCTCATTTAACTTTATTTTGTTTCAAGTATCAAATACTTACGGCGTTTCTACTTGTTGGACATTTAAGCCTACTTATCGGTTATTACTTCAGTAAACAAAATGTAAGTATGTTGTGGAATTTTGTCTTAATATTTTGCTCATATTGAAAATATTGTTGGTACTATCATCTCATTGAACATAGAATAAGAGAGAAATTCAGTTTATTAAAACTTTAATTGCCCATCAACTCTACTGAAATGTTTCCACTCTTTTGGTCTGAAAGCTTCAGTGATGGCTCCAGTTTAAGCTGATGTATTACTTAGGTGGGGAATGACTATCAGTGAAGTACTGGATGCTTGAAGCGGCAAGTGGTGAGTTCGAATCTCACCAGAAATGCAGGTAAATCCAGATGAAGAGTCCCAAATAGGAGGAAATATGCGTCTTCTTTTCTACTGCTGACCATCATGAAATAAATACCACAGAGTATTAATGATTATTATCCGTCTGTCTGGATTCAACATAGAACTTGGCACCGAAGTGCAGCAGTTCGAGTTGCCACGTTCCAAAGAGCACACAAAGGTAGACAAGAAAATGAGTGAAGGGGATCAATAGAGTTTTGACAAGTATAAGAGTGAAACAGAATGAATAATAGTAGAAAGGAATATGAAAGATTACAGAGACTGAATACATTTGCGTAAGCCATTGACAACGATTTTGAGCCATGTCACCTATTGTCTCCAGCCATTGATTCTTAGAGTCCCGAGGGCCCCAACCGGAAGTCTCCATCTCCCTCCCTACCTGACTCAGTTTAACTGTCAAGGATTTCATGGATTAATGCCATGTTTTTGTTTGGCCACCACTTACTCTTTTCCAACCTGCACCTACCTATATCAGGTAGTAATGCCCGTCAGGGGAGGCGATGGTTAGGCATGCGCAGCACGTGACCTAGCCATCTCAATCTATGTAACTTTATAGCTTCTTCGATTGATTTTCCCTCTTTGCCCAACACTCTATGCCTAACGTCAACATTACTTACCTTATTTATGCCACCTAACGTGAGAAAGAGATCGTAGACATCTATGATCATATCCATATTATAATGTGATATGACAGCTATGCTTTCCACTCAAAACTGCATAACGATAACTTGTTACTTATGGAGTACTGTTTACTTCCTTTAGTGCATTGCTCCACTCCATAGTTTCCATTGATTCTCTAAATGACGTCAAATCATGACGAAATTTACCATTGTGATCGATCTATGTCCTTGCAAAAATTGAAAAATATTGCATGTTTGATAGTGAACTTATTTCAGTTAGAGAGCCACTGAATATCACGGAGTACTGAACAGCTGTTTCATCATTGTTTGAGATTCTCCACCAATATGTACCCATCATCTCACCAGTGTTCGAGACCAGAATATTTAGGTTACAAGGCCAGCTCGTAAACATTCAACCAGTGGGAGTCCAATGGCCCACCAATTCTAACTTCTGCCAGTTCATGAAATAGAACGTGACCGTTAGTCAGTGTTATGGGTGAGTAGCTGTCCTCATGTTCAACTCGGTGGGTGGATCCCGCTAGTCAGGAATACCCTCCAGAACTTCAAGCAACCTCATCATGCAGTCAGTCACTAATGGGCGCTAGATCTATTTTAAGGTGTTGGGCGTGATCTACGGCAAAGTACCAAACGAGGATGAAACGCCTGTTCATTATTTTAAGCCAGTTCGTGACCAGTCTTGAAGTCGATCAGTTCCCTGAAAATCAATCAATATTCCATCTATTTTCCTCTCCAGTTTTTAATAAATATTTGCACAATAAACAACAATAATAATAATAGTTATTTTTTTTTATAAATTTTAGTTCAAAGACCATTTGAGCAATATGCTAGGAGAATATATGAAAGATTATATATCACTGAGAAGTGGAGCATCGACAAGTATATTCGCTGGGATTGTTATGGCAACGGTAAGTGAGTAATATGCATGGAGTAGTGCTTTAAATGGTCACTGTACTATAAATGTTTAGTCGTGGCTCAATTGGTAAAACTTTGGATTGATGCCTCAGAGACCAGTGGTTCGAATTCTGCCTTAACTTGGCTTTCATATCATCTCTGGTCAAAATCTGTTTTATCAATCAATGAAACAGTCCAACGAACCAAGTCTGCGTCAGGACTAACTGTCATGATTCATTAATGACTTCTTCGTCTAATTTAAGATTTTACAGGAGCGGCTCCCTTCCCTCTGTTCTGCCAGTATGATGGACAGAGAGGATAAGGAACATGAAATTTCATACGTTTGGTTCCCTTGATAAATTTCAATAGAGAAAGAAAGACTAAATTTGCTGTATAGAATGATATCATACTATTTCACGGGTTATCGTCAGCTGCAAACTACCTGAAATTACAATGATTATGAATAATAAGATTTCATGCTTCAGTGTTTGAAAGGTAATAGAGAAGATATTATAAGATGAACGTGTCCGGAATATAAGTATTACAATTTATAGTTTAAGTTACCGTCAATTTATATACTATCAAACTATGAAAAAAAACAAATAAAGGAAGGTGTGAGAGAAGACACAAAACAGAAAAATCTAATAATCAGTGTTATCTTGTATGTCAACATGGCAACTCAAGAAGGTCGAATTTCATCAATTTGAAAACTTGCTTAGCGAGCTGAGCTCATTAGTGTGTATGAGTAATCAGTGTAATGAAAGTGATATGGTTGCCAATGGAGTGAGAGATTGACTACGCTCTCTTTCTGTGTGCATAAGTTTGGTCTGAGACGTTTAATTGCAATTGCTTCAGCAAATTGTAGTAGATTCGCCATCCTTTGTATGTTTAATATTTTGAAAGATTTGGTAATCTCGACAAAATGACCCGTATCCACAGGGTGGGTATCTGGTAATTGCACTTTGTAGTTATCTGCTTCCTTTTAAGCATAAGTTTCTCGGAATATGCTCTGAAAACCGAATAGAAGCCCTTCTTTCTGTCCTTCCAATGTACTTGCTGCCGCAGACGCACGTAAATGTATAAATGAAGTTGGAGGTAACGTCAGCATGGTAACTTAAACTATAAATTGTAATACTTATATTCCGGACACGTTCATCTTATAATGTCTTCTCTATTACCTTTCAAACGTTGAAGTATGAAATGTTATTATTTATTATCATTGTAATTTCAGGTAGTTTGCAGCTGACGAGAACCTGTGAAATAGTATGATATCATTCTATACAGCAAATTTGGTCTTTCTTTCTCTATCGGAACGTGAAATTCTTAGACAGTGAACTATGAAGTAAGGAACTATTACTCATCCGGGGTGCAGAAGGAAGTACAGATGAACTGGGCATACATTGGGGAGACCAAAGAGCGACATCACACGATGGGCCTTCGAAGTGAATCAAAATAGGAGGCCATGGGTTGAGTGTTCAAGACTGACACAATGAAGACAATGCGAATAGGAAATAAAGTTTGCATGCAATTGTAGAGCCAGTTGAAAATGATATCAGAGAGCAGAAGATGTGCTGCTGAGGTACTCTTTTCAACAGGGAATGTATGAAACAAATAATTAAACTGTCCAATAGGTGTGTTGCTGAACATGTAGATATGCTTCATGCACTAATAACTTGACAACAGGCAATTACCAGTTGTGGTTGTAGTCAGTCGAGGATGTAGTTAGTTGCTCAGTCTCTGAGGTCAGACAGTAAGTGATAAGGGGGCCAGAAATTAGAGCCCCGCGACGACCGAGATCTATATTTCACCTCTGATTACGACCCGTTAGGATAAAATTCGTCTGCCATCTGTAGACTACCTCAGATAGTCTCACAATCAAATATTTACATGTTATGTCGTCAGAGAATAAAATTTGCTGTCAGAGAATCGATAAGTACATATCCAGTCAGGTAATAGGGACACATTAACTGAATATGGGCTTCTAATCCCACAATAATTAAAGTAAACCGAGTCTCTTTTCTTTAATTCTTTAACTTAAATATCTTTAACCTTCTGAATAGAGAAAGAAATTAAATCAATGTTAGTTACAGGATTTCAACATGAGCTGACATCGGTTAGAGAACCATTGGAAAACCAGCTGTTGCTTCAGTCTAGTTCGGGACTCTTCAGCAGTAGGCAACCACCACAGGCGTTCGAACCCAGGACCCTCTGGTTACAAGGCGAGCTAGCTCATAGACCATTAATCAGTCACCGGGACACGATCCAATGGCCAGTCCATGAATTCCAACTATGGCCAATTCACACAACGATTGGCCAGTGTCATTGCTGGCGAGGATTTGTCCTCACACTCGATCTGCTGCACCCTACTGGTCACGAATTAGGGTGTGACAAATCGGGCGTGAGGACAAATACTCGCCAAAGACACTGGCTAGTGGTCGCGCTATGGCGTGAATTGGCAGAAGTTGGAATTCATGGACTGACCATTGGATCCGATCCCAGTGGCTTGATGGTCTATGAGCTCTCTAGCCTTGTAACCAGAAGGTCCTGGGTTTGAACGCCTGTGGTGGTTGCGTGCTGCTGAAGAGTCCTGAACTAGGCTGAAGCAACAGCTGTCCGACAGTACTCCTAGCTGGTTTTCCAATGGTTCTCTAACCAATGTCATCTCATGATGAAATCCATCAAATCCCTACAAATCAATACTTAAATCAATGTTAGGTGGTTGGAGGCAATCAGAAGGAAGTCTTGCACCTAGGTTTATTTCATATCAACAGCCTTCAGCATGGCGCAGAAGCAACCTCACAGGGAATGATTTCTCCTATGAGATTTGAGACTACAACCCTCTGTGCCATAGTCAGTGACTTTTCCGCTTAGATATTCCAAATACCATTTAGATAATTCGAATCCAGCCTATATTCACACAGTGGGATGGGACAGGATAACAATTTTTCAAGGTAAAATAGTCTTTTGAAAAGAGGCAGAGAGATAAATCACCGATTTTTCGCCCCCCCCCCCAAACCGCAGTTATAATGAACAACATCAATCGAAGTCATGAAAAGTTTTACTGGAGTAAAATAAGGACTAATAGGGCTAAACCGTGTGACTATCTTCCAGTGATGATTGACAATACCCTGCTATGGTGTCTAACTATGCGTGTATTGCTACGAAATAGTAACTACAAGTTTTGAATATCCGCTTTGTGTTACGAATCAATAAGATGTGGGTCAATTGCGCTGAGTAATGGCCGGGGAACTTTGGTGCTTAGGCTTTTTTGAAATGTCGTTAGAGCTTGAGTATGACAGTCAGATGAATATTTTTAAAAAAACGTACGAATGAAATGAAACAGTTATGCAACTGATTAAAAATACAAATTAAAATGTTTACAAAAGAATGGTTACTGAACAAAGAACACTCTTTTGGATAACCTGCCATCATCAGGTTCTACAGTTATACATACACACATAATAGTGAATGAATGAATTAGTGTTATGAACAACATTAATGCTGTTTAAACAACATCGGATCAATAATAATAATAACATCAGTGGATTACAGTTCGATTGCATCAGCATAACAATACACACTGAATATCAGAGAAATTAGGAGAAATAATAATACAAATTCATGAATTTATGGTCTCCACTGAAGGCCGGTCAGGGAGTGGTAGTGGCTGGCTGGACGTGTTTCCTCTGCACACAGAGTACGGGTTGTTCCAGGTGAATTGCGATAGCCTCTGCTGTTTGGAGCATGTGGTACCTGGATGATTTTGGAAATTTATTTGGCGCCCGATGGCAGATGATAGAGAAGGATTCTTCAATGCTGGCTTTGTGGCTGGTTACTCTAGGAACCTGATTTGTCGTGTTCGGGAACATCTTCCAGTATAGCTAAGTAAAGGTGCAGTAAAAACCATCAACAGTTCGACCATCTGGTCCAAACCGGCCACAAATCCATCATTGAAGAATCCCTCTCCATCATCTACCGGGTGCCGAATAAATTGCCGAAAACACCGAAACACCACATGCTCCAAACAGCAGAGGCTATTGCAATTCGCCTGAAACAACCAGTGATTTGTGTGCAAAAGAAGCAAGTCTAGCCACTACTACTACCCTGGCCAGCCTTCAGTGGAGACTATAAATTCATGAATTTGTATTATTATCTCTCCTAATGTTTATGATATTCAGTTTATTGTTACGTTGATGCCACTGAACTGTAATCCACTGATATCATTATTATTGTGCGTCGGTGGCATAGTGGCTACGACTCCCGCTGACCACCATGCACATGGCTCGGGGTTCGATCCTCTGCCGATGCACACCTGATATCTATGTCCGACCTGCAAAATTTGGGCTACCGATATCGCATGCTGAAAATTTCATACTTGTACAGAAAAATAGGGTGTGGAATCAAGCTGTAATAAAAAAAGAAATTACTAGTAATTCGATGTTATTTAAACAACATTAATGTTGTTAGTAACACTAATTCATTCATTCACTATTATGTATGTACATATAACTGTAGGACGTGATGAAGCGCAGGTTATCGAAAAGAATATTCTTTGTTCAGTATCCATTCTTCTGAAAATTATATAATTTGAAGTGAGTTTCATTTCACTGCAGAATGGAAACCACTGAGTTTTAACTTGCCTCCTGGATGTAACTTGTTCCCCTTGGACGACATCAACCATCAACTCAATACATTAATAATAATAATAATAACAGCTTTATTCCAAACAGTATTTGTGGTACAGGTATGGAATTTTCAGCGTGCATTACAATATTGCATCTAATTACCTCATAAATTTTATAAGGATTTAAAAATAAAAAGCAACAACAACAAAAAGAGAAAAGAGAAATAAAAGAAATAAAAAAAGAACAGCATCGCATTCACATATTTAAACAATGCACCACAGGATATGATATATAAAATTAGTCTGTAATAGAATATATGAGCAACAATATAATAGTAACAAAGAAAGGAGGACAAAAGCTAATGGGAACTATTTGTTAGAGTGCCGCAGTAAGTTGATCGTGTCATACCTAACAGTTTTCTCATCACATAACAGCTGTGCCAGATAAGGTATTGTGGAGTATTGTACTTGGTAGTCCTGGCATATAGCCTCCTATAACTGCTTCTAGTTCTACCAGATGAAATGCAAGGAGAGAGCTGCGTATAGAGAGGATGCTCAGGGTCTGACAATATAGTATTCGCTAGTTTCTTACATGACATTATACGTCTATCCACAATGGTGTTAACCAGTTGGTTTAACAATATCCCACTTCTCCTACTAACAGCTTTTAGTGCCCTACGCAGCAAAACAAAGTATTTCTTAAGTATTCCAGGAAAGATTAATGGGGAGCAGTAAAGAGGGATGGTTAGAATACAAGAGTTGACGAACTGAGAAAGCAAAGACTGCTGTAAACCAGACTGCCTTAAATTCCTAACGTAGAACGTTAAGCGAGACATCTTTCTAGTAACTAGCAAGATGTTAGAGGACCAGGAAAGATCGGAGAAAATACTCAGTCCAAGGTACTTGACTCTATGCCGTCAATGATAGTGGGACCATGTGAGCTAGCTAGTTGTTGTAGGTCACGTTTTCGTCTGAAAGTGAAATTTACTACTACTACCAGACATTTAGACGGATTCAGCTTAAGACTGTTTGAAGAGGACCACTGACTAATTTCCGAGAGAAAGTTATTTAGTATGGAACAGTCTGACTGAGAGTTGACAGGCATGGAGACAGAGAGGTCATCAGCATACTTGACAAAAGTGGCTACATCAGAATGGGGTAAGTCATGTAAGAAAAAAGAGAACAAAAAAGGAGAAAGAACAGCACCTTGAGGAACACCAGCTAAAGTAAGTGAGGTAGTGGAGGACTTTCCATTGTAGACAGTGTACTGCTTCCTATCAGAAAAATAGGAATGCAACCACTTATTTGTCCAGCTCTCAGTCTGTGTTGCAGCAAGCTTACGTAGCAAGAGAGACCTAGGAACAGAGTCAAATGCAGATGTGTAATCAAGGAAGGCACACCGAACATATTTGGCTCCTCTATCTAAAATAGAGACTATATTATGATATAGAACGACAGCGGCATCTAAGGTACTCCTACTATGTTTATAAGCAAACTGATTGGGGTCATTGAAAGGCTTTAAAGAGGGTTCAAGATTAAGTAAAATAAGTCTTTCCATAACTTTCAAAAAAGGTGAGGTAATAGCAATCGGTCGAAACTTAACAGTAGGTCCACTTGTTGATTTAGGTACTGGAACAACCTTGATATTTTCCATGAGTCAGGAATAATACTTTGGGAAAACGATTCATTGAAAATGTCGGTTAATTGGTAACATAAGATGTCAGCACACTTCTTAAGGATAACAGCAGGAACTCCATCAGGACCAAGGGACTGGGTAGGTTTGAGAGATTGAAGACACTTAAGGACATCATCCGTGTTAAAACATGAGAAGCAGTCATTATTTATACTACTAGATTTGAGAATCATAACATCTGCAGGGAACATCTGCAGTTTAGAACTGTTAAAATGTCAAATGGTCAGTAAAAATATGACTCGTCTTCAGCATTCATGACTTACAAGACCCAATAGTTTCACGTTCAACTCAGCATTCAAGTTATTGACTGATTACCGTGGACTATAATCTAGAATGGCTTACAATTATTACTGACTACCATATTTTTCTAGAATCACTGATAAAGTGTATATTTTCATTTCGATAAGACATACATTTACTTATTGTATTGTATCATGTTATTTTCAATTATTCAAGTACAAATGTTGTGGATTAGAGACACATCGATACTTCTGGGAAACGCCAGCCTTTTCTCCAATTGACACCTACGATAATTTAATGTATAAAGGTGAGATGAAGCCTTTTTTCCAAATTTACTAAAAAGGATTATACTTTACACCATACTTTTTTTATTAGTCTTTGAATTATAAGGAAACAGTGAGTTCAGTATATTTTCAGGGTTGATAATGAATGGTTTAGAAACTTAGATATGATGGAGAAGATTTGTAGCTCAGGTGGATGATTTTGATGTAGTTATGCCCTCTTGGCTGGACTGTTTATTTGTGAAGCTTTCATGGCTTTCAGCGCATACTTCAATCTGTCGAAGTGAGCTTTCAGATTTCTCCATGAGTTTATTAGTCATCTTCCCTGGTGGTGACCTTTAACGTGACTGGTTGCCTTTGTATGTTTTCACACCCTCTAGTCTATTGTATTGGAGCTTGTTGTTTTCCTGTCTTGAACTTTGACTCTTTGTGTGTGAGGTTTCCTTCTTATCGGTTAGTAAACTGTTTCTATCTCGATTTGTTTATTTATTGATGATTCACTGGAATACCAGGCTTCTGGACATTCTCTGGCATTCTTGGTGTTTCCTCTGTCTAATATTTGAACGCTGGTTGTCTCAGTCGAATTGATTTCCGTAGTTGTCTGTATGCAGTGAGGTGAAATGAGGGAGTGGATGTCATGTCTTTTGACGGCTAGTTTATGATCATGGATACGAAGACGAAGAGGGTAGCGTCCACTTTAGCCAATGTAGTGTTTTTCGCAGTTGTTACAATTTATTTTGTAGATGATGTTGGTCTTATCGTCTTTCGTTGTTGAGTCTTTTGGTTGACACAGAGCTGAGTGAAGTGATGTAGTTGGTTTGTGTGCGACGTCACTTCCTAATAGTTTGGAGAGTATTGCAGTGACTTCTGAAATGTCCTTTGTATATATGGTAGGGTGATTTACTTTGTGCTTTCCTTGGGGGCCTTTGATTTGTTGAATTGGCTCTTTGGTATATGTTTTTTAATGAAATTCCGTGAAACTACTCATATCGATCAGTAGTATAACACCGTTATACAACATTTCTCACCTACCATATTTCTATTTATGGTAACAATCAGTTTACATGTGGTAGTCTGAATATTTCGGGTCCGCAAAGAAAATCAAAGTGAATTTTTGACTCAATATACTACTAGTTGACTGATTTAAGTAGTCAGATACCTTTCACATTAAAAAAGACCGTGCTGAAATTTCACCTAAAACTGTGATAATCATTAATCATTTTGCAAACTGATTACCGATTAGCCCGAATTTTTCTTTCTTTATTCCTTTACGTTCCCCCAGTGGAACAAACGGCTTAAAGCTAGAGAGGCTTGAAGGCTCGGTAGCAGTGGTGTTTATTACTTTTACGGGATGGAGTTGCTGGCCTCATGCTCAGCCCAACCCCCCCTCTTTACCAGCCTTACTACTGGCTAAGCGTGGCAAAGAATGGTGCGTCATAGGCCGGGGATCAAACCCCGAACCACCAGCGTCATCGGCAAGCATTCTAACGCCACACCACCGACGCATGATTAGCCTGAATAGCTAGCTGGAATCAGGCTTTCTAGAACCGTTTCGGTCTTGTGAGTTGAGCAAAATTAGATACACTGCTGAGATCGGCCCTAAAATGTACGAAACGATTTCCTGAAGATTCGGATGACTTTGTTCCGGCTAGTTGCTAAACACACTACTGGTTGATATCAGCATTATCCGATATCTTTTCAGTGATTTCATTCTCAAAAACAGCTGTACAATCGCATTTATACACAACATTAGTTTACATGAATACAATTATTATTTATTTAAATCGATATAGTAAAGAAGGAGATAATAATTTCCAACTTGATAGGAAAGTTTGAAGGTACGAATATAGATTATAAGAGGGCTTAGAGACACGATTGCATAGGATTAGAGAAAACATTTTTCAACGTAGGCAAAATTAATTTTTGATAACTGGGGAAATAACGTTTTTTAAATTAAAGAAGGGACTTTCTGGTAAACCTCCAGTCGACGGTCAAATAAAACGGAGAGTAGCAAGAACATGTTTTAGAGCTCAGAGAATAATATATGTAAGCAATGAAAACCCAATATATCTATGGCTCTTCTCTACTATGTATTTAGCATTTTCAATACTGAATAATGCGACAGACGGTGGCGGGCAGCTAGGAAACAGGCATAAACAGGGCGCACACAAAAACCTGGAGAATCTGGATTTCGCCGATGATATATTTCTGATTTCCCACAAACTGGGAGATATGCAAGTGAAGTGCAACTAGTTGGCAGAAGAAGCATCCAGAGAAGATAGTATTTCAGGTGAACATAGAGAAAACAGAGGTGATGAAGATTCCTGGCAAGCAGCACCAGCAACAATTACAACAACAGGCAACAATCAGTATAAATGGGAGGAATCTGAAAGAAGCAACCTCCTTCATTCACCCAACCTACCTACCTGGGAAGCATCGTTTCAACTACAGGTGGATGGCATTGATGAGGACATCATCAAAGCGAGGATCGGGAAAGCAAGTCAAGCTCTCATTACTCTCAAGTCTGTGTGCAGATCAACAGCACTAATCAGCATGAAAAATGAGATTCGAATTTTCAACTCCAATGTGAAGTCAGCACTACTTATTATACCAATCAGAGACTTGGCGCGTCATGAAGAGCACTTCGAACAAACTACGGACACTCATCAACAGCTACCTTTACTCAATACCATTCAAGATCAGATGGCTGGCCAGGAAAGATCGGGGATCTCTGGGAGAGAAACAACCCAGCAGGAACTATTTGTGCAAGAAATATGCAAGAATAAATGGAGTTGGATTGACCATACTCTGAGAAAACCATTAAGTGGGTGACATCATACGCCAGGCTCTCTCTGTCAAGTGGGAGACGAAAGGGAAGCGGCAATTTATTTGTCATTGCGAGGGTGACCCGGGGGAGGTGATGCAAAGAGGAGATGAAAGTATGTGAGCAGATGTGGAGTGAGGTGAAAAAATTGGTGGAGAACCGAACTCCATGGAGACATGCTGCCGAAGCTCTATGTTCCCCTAGAAACTAAAGGAGACGGAAATAATGATAAAAATGGTAATGAAAGACGGTATATTCTACGAATTGATATGAGTAGTCGGTATCCAGTTACGTCAACCAGTAACGCTTGCTACTGATTATAAGCTCCACCTAAAACGAGTGAGATCGCGATCCCATGTTTAGATCACTTCAACCCGATCACGAAACACTTGTAGATGAATAATTCAAGAACAACAGTCTGAGTAGAATAAGATGGTACTGTGCGTTTATTTCGCCGGCTTCTCATCAGCTGTGCACATCCTACGAATTTTAGATAATGTCACTTAACTACAGGAGACTCTCTTACTTAATAAACAGCTTTCTGAAATTACACTTATGCAGTTTATTCCCAGAAAGTTCAAGATTAAGCAAAAATAAATGCTTGAATACAATGACCAAGTAGTTACGTAATGAGGGCAAGAGGTGAATAAGATGATGAGTAACTAATCAATTGGGTAACAATCAAATCATAGAAACAAGACACAGGCAAAGTCACACTATATCAAAGAGGGGAAAGGTTAAAATCAAAGATTACGTAATGAAATAGAAGGAAGAATGAAGACATGCGGTTACCGTGGCCAGATAAGACTGCCAACTACTTCTTTGTGAACACGTAAATCGGGTTTCAGGCATCTGATAGTGGTTCCTTCAGCAAATTTGAGGAGAACTGAGCTATTCTATCTATTGATAATTGAAAAGGATTTCATGATGTCTAACACATGACCCGTATCCATGAGATATCTGAGAATGACACTATTGCAGGAGTTTGTATTCATTCTTGAAGCTCTATATCCATTCATAAATACATTTTACAACCTTCTTTTTTACCTTTGTGTTATAGGATTGCTTTTCCCAGTGACTTGTTGTAAGATGGACGAGAATTTAAAAATTGTGGATAAAACGTGTCCATTGAAATTTAATAAGCTTAACAGCAATATTGGAATTGGGTGTGGTAAACCTTTCACTGACAAAATCGCATTCATTACAGATATGTCTGTATTCAGTACCCTGTTCATTTTAGTATGTAACGTAAGTTATGGTCGATTCCATCATATTTTTATGTAGCTTACTCTTACCTACTGAATATTTTTCTAAGTAGTCGACAAAATCGCAATAAAGTTTCAAAACCTAGGCACTACAGTATCGCGTAATTCTATATAAATTTGTTTATTGGCTATATCATATAGTGAAATTGCTACACTCCGGCTGATATTTAGAAAGCATGATTAATGAACTGTTCGAATAACAGGGGGAAAAAGTGAATGGGACAAAAGAAAATCCAAGGTGGGAAGTAAGAAATATAGGGGAAGCTGTGACACTGAATAATTACCCTGACTAATTAATCAGGAATTACTTAGGAAAATATAAGGATAAGATTAAAAATAATAATAAAGATCTCATAAATGACGAAAATACCCAGAAAGAAGAGGACAATTCCAACAATGGAAGATTTAAAGACATCATTAGTGCTTCCATGCATCACAGAATGAACCTCTGAAAGCTTATGCAGAATTCATCATAAGGCAGGAATAAAAATGGCATTCAAAAGCACGAAGTCATTTAGAAATAAATTGTGATTGTAATAAAGGATCATTTAGAGAATATTAAATAATATATAATTTGGTTTGCCTAATACCCTGCAATCATTCTGAGGTCAAATACATAGGCCGAGTTAGTGGGACGCCTTGAATTAAATCAACAGAGATTAGTTGACCCTAAAAAATCTTTAGAAAATAACCTACCTACAGCCATACATGCGATTATCGACAACCATAAAGCAGCATGGGATACAATGACAGTCTTAATTCTAATATAACAGTGTGCTCAGACAGAGATTGATAATGGAACATTTATTTATGGAATTAGCCAAGAATATGTGCAATAGAAGTGATTCAACGACTGTTCCGAACCTCTGGAAAACTCTACTTCCCTTATGACGGATAGAAAGGAAGGATGAGAACTATAAACTCAGGGTTTAAGAGTTGTTTATTTATAAGTGGTATGATTACGAACAATACATTGAGTTCTAAACTTGCTCCAGTAAAGTGCATTTAGACACAATACTGAATTTTCAGGGAGTTTCAAAGCAAGGTAATAATACTTCTTGTCGCGGAATCTTCAGATAATATAATAACCGATAATATGTCATATAAAGTAATATCTTTCTATCCGAAGCATGTTTCACAATGTTTCCTACTTCGAAAAACTACCTAGAGATAGAATAGACGCATATTCGAAATTGTACTCGAGTATAGACTGAGACTTATTGTGGTAATTTCAATATCAAATAGAGTGAAGATATTACATTTTGATGGAGAGAAAATTTAGATAGCTCATTCATTTAACCAGGCCGCCTTCATATATGTGCAGAATTTGGCACTGTGGTAGTAAGTAATTCGATATCAATTTGTTTATTAGATATGTCACACAGTGAAACAATATAATTATTATTCACTGGATGACACAGTTTCAAACACAATTTATTATTGTTCATAATCATATCAATCAATTATAATCACACTTCTTCGAAACTTGAGTTTTATAGTTTTCTTTGTTCCCTTCTATTTGTCGTCGTTGGGTTAGTAGAGTTTTCCAGATGTTCGGTTGGACAGGTTTTGAATCATTCTTATTTCATGTGTTTTCAGTTGATTCGATAAATAAAAGCTTCTGTTATCAATCTCTCTCTCCATTCACCCTGTGACATAAGATTTTAAAACTGTCATCCTATCCCATCCTTTTGTGTGGTTGTTTGTGATTACAAGTAGTGCGTGCTATAGCTGAACTATTCTCCAGATATCGAACACATCAACTCGAAGGTAGACGCAATTCAATTCACTTATGAATTGGAATGTCAGCAAGGGGAACTTCAAATGTTAGATTATAGCGTGAAAAGGAAAGAAGTTAGGAAGTTAAACACTATTGTTTACAGGAAACCCAAAGATATTTGGATTTCTGATCATCGCACCCTATATCAGTAAAAATTGGATTGGTGAAATGTTGAAGTAATAGAGCACAAAAACTAAGTAGTAAGAAGGAAAATCTAAGACAGGAAGTGAGGTATATAAGAGAAGCCTTAAAACTTAATAATCAGTCTCATAAATTAGTCAGAACGTATGTGGGGAATTGCAAAATTAAAATAAATAATGATAGCAGTGACAGTGATAATAATAGTAATAATAGTAATAATAATAATGACGACATGCAAATCAAACATGCGCAGGATAATGACAACACCAACAATAAGGAATCTAAATCACCAGTAATAATTCCATACAAGGAGGGAACCTCGGTAACCTTACGGCGGAAAATTCTTAACAAGGCAGGCAGGAATAAAATTAGCTGGCATTCAAACCCACAAATTCAATTAGAAACAAGCTTTGTCGGTTAAAGAATCCTGCCAGTGGAGCCAAATGGACAAAATAATTTAGTTTATCTAATACCCTGCCTTCAATAATTGTCAGGTCAAATACATAGGTCAAACTAGTAGAACAGGGGCAGTCAGTCAGACTAGCGGAGCATAAAACCCTAGCAGCACAATCTAGATTAGTTGATATGAATAAGATAAGAAATCTGGAGAATAGTTCAACTATAGTACTAACTACTTGCAATTATTCACAACCATACAGCATAGGATGGGGTGGGATAAGATGACAGTTCTAAAATCTAATGTAACAGGGTGAATGGAGAGAGAGATTGCTAACAGAAGCTTTGTTTTTATCGAATCAACTGCAAACACGTGTAACAGGAATGATTCAACACCTGTCCACAGGGATATATGGAAAATTCTACCACCCTTACGATAAAAAATGGGAAAGAATAAAGAAAACCATAAACCTCAAGTTTCGAAGTCGTGTGATAACAATTGATGATAAGATTATGAACAGTAATAAATTGTGTTTGAAACCGTATCATCCAGTGAATAATAATACTGTTTGTCAGTCTGTGTAGAATTCTTTACTAACCTGCACCAACAAGAGATTAACTGAAAATCCAAAAGCAATAGACAGGTGTTTCACTCAAGTACTGTACTCCTCAACCGCTACGTTAACTCGTTACCGTACGATTGATAGAAAGCAGGTAAAAGTTAAGCCTAACAGTCATTCAGACACTCGGGGTTATAAACCGAATGACCCATAATTTCTTAACTCTCTGTCAGCTTATTTCATAATGAAGTCTACATTTGTATTTTGAATAAAACCTGTAAATTTGATCTAATGTCTGTTTCTCCCCTCTACCTTTATACAGGTTATAGTGATGTGCATCACAGTTAAAGCTCTTAGAGACTTGGAACCAATAAGTATATGACGAATGTTCAAAGATAACTCAAATATGTATTGTAATGAACAAATGTTTGTCTTATTTTGAATGATCAATATATTCATGGCTGAATACGGAAAGATTATTACATGAAATTACTGTTGACAATTTCAATTTCCGATCTTTTTTCAACTTAGATTCCTTTGAATAGTTTTATATATATGATTGACAGTTACAGCGCAGGTTGCACCCTCTTTAGGTCTCGTAAGCTGAATGTACACACATCACCAGTGAATGTTGGAGTTCTCAGTAAGACTTGCAGCTAGCATTGATCATTCCAATGGCTAACACAAATCCATCATATTGATTCAGTAAATGTTGGCGGCCTGTTTGAATCATCAGGCTATCTGAATTTCAAGTTTTTCTTATTTTTATTGTTTTATTCTAAGAATGTAGTCAAACACATTTTTGTTAAACTGGCTTTCAACCTGCCGGTTAGCATTTCTCAATGGCGACGAAAGAAAACATCATAGGGAATTAGTGTATGTTTCAAAATGAACAGTATAGCGTCACATGATATATGTATTTAATTCCAACCAATTCCACCAACCAATGTCATCGGTGGGACATCCATCCTCACACTAGACTGGATGAACCTCACTGGACATCATGACTTCTCACTAGAACTCCAAGAAACTCCGTCCGTCCTGTAGCAAGTCACTGGCGAGCATCGGAGTGCAATCCTTCACAGTTCACACATCGCTCAAGCGATAACCAAATATCACTTTAACGCCAAAGACAATGCGATCTACTAGATGGTTGGAGGCAATCGGCTACAGGGAGCCTTGCCTGACCTAGGTTTCATGCTGGTTGGCGGTCACCAATCAGTAAGGCGACCTTGAAGAAACTCACATCCGTTCTGAGATTCAAACCCGTGTCACCCAGTGCTGCAGTCAGAGATTTTACCGTTGAGCTATTCAGGCTTGCACCTGACCTTCTGTAGGACGCAAGCTGGAGTCTCAGAAGGGAGATATGAGTTCCTTCAAGGCCACATATACGCCTTGCTGACTGGTGAGTGCCAACTAGCATGAAATTTAGGTCCAAGACCTCCCGTCTATGGCCTCCAACCATCCAATATCATCAAATCAGTGTGCACCATGATGGCGAGCTACCTAGAATGGTGGTCACATTGCAAACCTAACTGACTGAATTCAGTCTGCACCAAAGAAAAGACTAGACATGCCACACTAGTTACTAGTGTCCAATAAAAATACGAAAAGCAACAAGTTAGCAGAAGAAGCATCAAAGATAGGACTTCAGGTGAACATAGATAAAAGAGAGGTGATGAAAATTCCTGGGCAACACCACCAACAGCAACAACAACAACTGACAACAATCAGCCAGCATAAATGGGAGGAACCTGAAAGAAACAACCTCTTTTACCTACCTGGGAAGCATCGTTTCAACTACAGGCGGTGGAACTGATGAGGATATCAAAGCAAGAATCGGAAAAGCAAGACAAGCTTTCACCACTCTCAAGTCTGTGTGGAGATCAACAGCACCAGTCAGCAAGAAAAGTAAGATCCGGATTTTCAACTCCAATGTGAAGTCAGTGCTACTATACGGATCAGAGACTTGCACTGCGCGTCATGAAGGGCATCTCAAACAAACTACAGACCTTCATTAACAGTTGTCTTCGCTCAATACTCAAGATCAGATCGCTAGCCAGAAAAGATCAGCAACAGAGATCTCTGGGAGCGAACCAACCCAACAGGAACCGATTGTGAAACAAATAGGCAGGAAGAAATGGAGATGGATTGGCTGGCCGTACTCTGAGGAAACCATCAAGTGACATCACTAGACAAGCCATTGTTCGAGTGGAACCCGAAAGGGAAGCGGCGAGTTGGTCGTCAGTGCAAGGGTGACTTGGAGGAGGTCATGTGAATAGGAGATGAAAACGTGTGGGCAGACTTGGAGCCAGGTGAAGACTCTAGCAGAGAACCGAACGCAATGGAGACGCACGGCTGAAGCCCTATTTTCCTCTAGGAATTAAAGGAAACAATAATAATAATAATATCCCTCTTCTTAAGAAAACAGACGAGAAGTATCTTTTAGCCGTTTTCTATAATAATGGACGCCTACTTATACTCATCAAGATGTGTCTGCACCCAATTTAAACGGCAAGCACAAAACCATCTACTGAGAATGAAGAATACAGAAGAGTTTTTAATAAACATGTTATATGCTATCGCATACAAATGTATGTCAGCACTTACCGAGACTGATTTATCTAGCAATAATAGAGAATTTTCAAAAGCCGGGGTAATTTGATCTATTTTCAGACTTGTTAATATAAATAAAATTCACCAACCCATAGAGAATAGGTCATGCAAACAAAAAATAAAATATTACCTCAGCAGGAGGACCAATACCAATACAAGCCAATACAATCACGAGAGAAGCTCTGGAGTCGACCAATTATAACCAAGCTCAAAGACAGTTATTTCATCCATGGTGAAGATGGTGCCCGAGTGTTTCGCAATTAAACCACTCAGGCCAGACAACATAATACCAAAAGCAAACTGACAGGATTTCAACGTAGAGCTGTGCACAGACGTACCAATTCAAGTAGCCACACTCCATATACCACACAATGCTAGATAAAAGATAAATGAAATCCTCGAGAACTATGACGAGCAGAAATCTACGAGAGAAACAACAGTGACATGGAAAAACACAGAGGAATAAGTGAATTTGGGCGAGTACAAGGAGTGAATGCATTTGAACCAATAAGAACGGCTTTCAGCCAAATCACCAACGCCTTCAAGCTATTAATAATAATAATTTTTGCTTTATTGCAAAAACAGTACTAATGATACAGCAAGGAATTTTCAGCATTCAGTAGGATATTGCATCTAATTTACTCAAAACGACAAAAAAAAGTAAACATTACATAATAATAATTACGAAACGTTGTTATAGCAGCTATTTAGCAATTACAGTATGCGATAAGGAGAAAAATACGCATAAAGTATAAAATTATGGTAATAATAGTAATAACAACTGAAATAAAATAGCAAAGTTATAATTAAACAATAGAAAGGTTGACACCATAAAATTACAGAAAGATGAACAATGAAAGGGTCGATTCACTATGCTAATTACATAGTAACTTATATGTTTCACGTCTAACAGAGTCTTCATCACATAAAATACGGGCTAAATACGGTATTGTAGAATTTTTGTACTTAGTGGTACGAGCATATAATTTCTTATATGGACTTCTCGTTCTACCCGATGAGACGCAAGGGGATAGTTGTGAATAAAGGGGGTGCAGAGGGTCTGACAGTACGGCCTTCCCCCATTTTGTACAGGATTTTATGTCTCTTGACCATAATATTGGCGAGCTCATGCAGTGGCATACCACAAGCCCTACTCACAGTATTCAATACCCTTCATGATATAGTCTTTTTTGAGAAGCCCAGGAAAGATTAATGGAGAGCAATAGAGTACAATAGGTAAAATACGGGAGTTTAAAAATTGCAGAACTAAAGGTTGGTTGATACCTGATTGTCTTAACTTTCTAATGTAGAAGGTAAGACGGAACATTTTCTTAGAGATTGGTAAGATGTGGGATGACCATGAAAGGTCAGAGGAAAGAACTAATCCAAGGTATTCAATGCTTGACTTGGTTTCAATTTCAGTGCCATCTATGCTACAGGCACCATGGGAACTAACTAGTTCATGTATGTCACGTCGATGCTTGAAAGTAAAGTTAACTGCCTGACATTTGGAAGGGTTTAACATAAAACCATTTGACTTAAACCACTTGCTGATGTCCAACAGAAAGCTATTAATTTTGGAGCAGTCAGACTCGGAAGTGATAGGCAGTGATACAGTCAGATCATCAGCATATTTGACAAAGTTAGTTTCGTTTAAATGAGGCAGGTCGTGTAGGAAGAAAGAAAAAAGAAAAGGAGAGAGGACAGCAGCTTGAGGAACACCGGCTTTTGTAAGCGAGGCAGAAGAAGATTGGCCATTATATACAGTATACTGCATCCTATCAGAAATATAAGAATGCAGGCAACTCTTAGCCCAGAATCCTGTTTACGTCAACGAAAGCTTATTTAATAAAAGGCCCCTAGGTACAGATTCAAAAGCAGATGTGTAGTCTAGGAAAGCACCACGAACATATTTGGCCTTTTTGTCTAAACAGGAAACAACATTATGATATAAGACAACCGCAGCATACAAGGTTCATGTTTATATGCAAATTGTTTAGGGTCATTAAAAGATTCAATGAAGGTTCAAGACGAAGTAAAAGTAATTTTTCTATCAATTTTAAAAAAGAAGTAACTGCAATAGGCCTAAATTTAATATCAGTACCAGAAGATGGTTTTGGTGTGAGGATAATTTTAATGTTTTTCCATGCAAAAGGTAGAAGATTAATGGAAAAGGTAGCTTAAAAAGTGTTAGTAAGAGGGTAACATAAAATATCAGCACAGTTCCTGAGGACAAGGGCGCGTACACCATCAGGACCAAGGCTTTGGGAAGGCTTAAGAGACTGGAGACATTTAAGCACGTCAAGGGTGTTATAACCATTAAAATTGCTGTCTATATGATTTGTAACATTAGGAAGGGTATCGACAGAAGAGCTTATGAAAAACTTATTTAGAGTATCAACATTAAAAGATGGAACAGAAGTACATCGCTTACTACCAGTAATTTCTTTGAAAAGTTTCCACAAACTAGAAGGCGTTTTGTATGAAAAGAATCTTTGGTTGTTAAAATCCCAAGGCATTCTATATCTCGCCACATAACTGACTCAAACCAACAGTCAGACAAGTAATCTTGCTTTATGACATAGGCGGTGAATCGGCTTGTACAACAGGTGTCCTAACGATTTCAAAAACTGTCACCTCAAAACCTTATCGAGTGATTTACCCGGCTTGTCTATCACTCTACTCCAGACCCCAGTATTAGTCACCACCGAAAGAATCACTAGAATTCATAAACGCCCGGGTTTTTGATATCACCTTGTAATTCTC